TCCTTTATAGCATGAACTGATTTGCAGGCCATAAGATTATGATGGAGTTCGTATATTCCCGAATGGTTCACGATTATATCCATATAAGTCAATAACACCAGGATGAAGTTCATTGGGGCCAAGTTGTCAACCGCAGAAATGTTTGGCACAACACATGCGATGAAACTGGATTGCGAATTGCCCCAACCTCGTTGATTTGATTTTATCTATTTTGTGCTGTGGGGGATCCATCGTAGGCAATCGGAAATAACCCACATGAAACGTCCTCAAACTGGACAGTATCAGACTTATTTTCATTTTCATGACACTCTTCATGACCAAGAGAGGTGGCGAGGACTCTTTTGCCTCCTATGAACAGAATACAACAACTTTAGTAGACATGGGATGCAGCTTGAATCTTTTTGCACCATAAGCGATGTCAAATTCGGTCAAAACGTTACTACGGAGAAAGATATCATAATGCATCAATCAAATAATAGTTAGCACCTTCGACCATAGGCAATGACAGTTCGATCGTCGATCTCCCATTTCGGATACGATATCTCAACGGATCCCACCATTAAAGACTAACCAGTATGCTTCAGCAGATGTTAGTAGTCTGTGTAGGACCGCCAGGACCTTATCCGTAAGGCTACAATGAAGGTGCACTGTACTACAGTGTGTAAAGAACGAGGAACCGTAAACAACCCAAGGTCAAGCGAAGAAGCCCAGGCACTTTAAATTACGTCATCTCAGCAAGGCTGCATCGGCAGGACAGATTTCGGCAGCGTAGGGCGCGCGATCGCTTGTGGGGACCTGGCCATCGGTAATATTCGTCAGACAGTCAAACGTGATGTTAAAAGAATGCTTTAAAGATTTAATCGAGACTAGTGCTTTTGAGAAGTGACTACAGAGAGTCGGTGAGCATGGCCATTGACTGGGTTCTCGGGAAGGCTCTACAAGAAAATTACGTTTCTGAGCTGGCACCCGGATGCTAGTTAAAGTATCTCAAATATGCTGACTATATCGGTTAACTAGCTTCAAGCTTTAGCAATATATATTCTACGGTGTCGCGAAATCGGTCAGTTTGGCCAAAAACGCTTGGAAGACAAAAGTTTTTTCATGTTACATCCCCTGCCCCGGGGGGCAGGCCCCCTCGAGATTGGTGGCTGTAAAATTGAAGAAGTAGACAGTTTTAAATACCTCGGATCGAGGTTGCTGCCAAATGGGCAGAATAAGGATGGCATTGTCTACCGACTGGACACAGTACGACGAGTTATCTCCAGCCTTGGAAAATGCCTATGGACTCGAGGCGATATTTCTATCTCCAAAAAGGTCCGCATTAACCACGCATCTGTATGGCCTTTTCTTTTATACGGATGCAAATGCTGGGCTACGCGCCTGGAAGATGAACGAAAACTGGAAGTCTCTGACCACTACTGCTTGAGGACCATTCCTCGAGTAAATTTTGGGTGAATGTGCCTACGTTTCTGGGAAGCGGTTGCATAGTTCTGATATAATTTTGTAATAGATGCGGATCATGCGTATACATTAGAGGCAGCATAAATGCATTGACGGGTACAATTTATTATGAATGAACACCTCACAGTCGTAAATGATGTCATAATTAGGCATTTTTCTCAAACAGGAGCATACCCTTTCTCTAAGTATAAAATTTAAAGAAGGCGTAATTTCCTAGGAAACCAGTAGAAGAAAAAATATCTTTCGTGTATTTTCTCTGTGAGATATATTTGGATCTATAAAGGTAGTCAAAATATTACTTAAGTAGCCACTTTTTGCAGAATCTACTTTCTATGTAAGCGGTAAGAAAGAAGGTTAATAAAATGCCGGTATCCTGGCGTGACTGAAATGGCTTGAAATTAGACTGCATAATAATCAGTATTGCAACCCTATTTAATGTTGGTTTGCCAGTGGTTACCAGATTTTCGCAAACTGCGGCATTTTGGTTGCAGCACTCCCCGTACTTAAGTCGATGTACTTTGGGATTATTCAGATTCTCACGACGAGTTATCTCGAAGAAGTGCACGCAGGCCTCACGCTGAATGTCATGGAGGTGCACTCGGTAGCATCCTGCCATGGCTGTGAATACAGAACTCTCGTCAGGTCTGATAGATCAATTTCCACGAGAAGGTAGTCAGACCCTCCAATGATATTCCCGCATTACATTAGTTTTCTCATCAGTAACTCTTGCAACCACATCTTAAATGCAGTGAGCCTAGCAATAGGGATGAATTGATTACACACATTAACCTTAAACGAACTTCTGGTACTTTTTAAAGCATTTTTTGCCTGGTTCAAATTTTAAGATTGTGTTCACAGCAAAATTTATTGGATCCATTAATTTCGAGAGTGCTCATCAGTTGCTTCCGCTCGTGGCATAACTTTTCCTTGAGGTCCAACGTAAACGGACAAGAAGAAGCCGAAGACAGCTGGATACGCAGCTGTCAAAATGCAAGTGTCCAAAAAACAGAGACACTGAAAAGTCAGCAACTGTTATATAGCCTCCGGTCATCTGTCGGACTAAAAGCCCTGACAGGTAATGCTCGACCTGACACTTTGGAATCACCAGAACGGTCACTTCTTTGAGGTCAGGAACATGCCGATCAAATTGACACTGGCGTTTAAAGAAACACAGTGTCAGCCAGTAAGCAGCCATATCAAAGCTTCTATTTAAGTGTGGATGCTCCATTTTTGAACTCAATTTATTGATACATTTCAATCACTTTTTAAACTAATTGTCACTTACTATGGTGATAAAACGTTCACTTATCAGGTTACGGACCACTGTGATCCTCCGCTGGTCGACTGGCGTAATTCCACGATATTTGCATTTGAATTTGCAACTGCATCCAAACTCACACTTGCGGTTTAGGTTGGCGCTCATAAGTGATGCACGTCTATTAATCTGATCTGATCAGAATGCATATTTGGGAGTCAAGAAGCAGTAAGTTGAAGTTAATCTATAGCCATTAAATCTTTCATCGAGGCTTTGCTTGATCGCGTTTTTTATAGCATTGCCTTCAGAATTCAAGACTCAAAAGATAGAACTATTTGAAACTGCCATTTATGGTCCGTGCTTCTGCGCATGAAAAGAAAATGTATTGCTGCATTTCTCAGGATGCCCGTCGCCAAGAGGAAAGTCCAAAAAATGAAGTGGGCTAATTGTCTCTTGTTTTTTTCAAAACACAAATTCTAGTAGATTGTTATAAGATATAAAACCGAAGGTCATATTTTCCCTCAAGTGGATCCAACTAGGAAAGGTTCAAGTTCTAGTCTTTTCAGATTTTGCATCTAAAAGCAGATCTGTGTGAACGCACAAGGATACGAAATACACAGTTGGCTATTTTCCTAATGCTCCAGCAAAATTTTTCTCCTTGCGAGTGTCTTGACTGTCGGCTCAGTGTGTGTCTTGTTGTTTTGAGTGGCTTACTGCGGGGTGAGAGTCAGGCTCAATGGCTCCTTCTTAATGTTACCTTTATGGCACTCCCAAGCAAGAGCCTGCTCTTGGTGCGAGTTTTGAGTGCCAGCCGCCTGCGCTCACCCCATCCCCGGTCTTCTTGGCGTTTGTCTTGACACCGGCTCTCGGTGAGGGAGTGGTAAGAGATTGGGGTAGATTTTCTGCAAGTCTACTTTCACTTTAATCCCGCGGGAGTCACCACGTTGCTTCAGCTTGCCGAAGCTTCTGGTGGACATCGTCGAGAGCAACGGTCGAACTGTCGTTTAGCATTGAGTAGAATTTCACCTTGTTTGGAACCGCTGACTATGACTTAAATTCGAGTCAAATACCTCCCGCCATATGCAGTTCGTCATCGCGTTAGGATAGTTTTCGCTTGGGTTGCTCTTAGGTATCAGTGGGTCACGCAACTGAACTGGTTCCAAATATGTTTTGAATATGCACACATGAGATACTTCAATGGTCTCTTCCCATGGCGTATTCGCAACCATACCTTTCATACCAAGTGCCGCTTTATGCTTTTTAGTGTGTTTAGATTCTTTCGACTACTTTCGAATCAATACTGTCAAGCTAATTTATAGTCATTTAAACTGTGCGTATTTGGTTCTACTTGCCTCACTAATAAGCGTGCGCGTTTAAGTCGACACTCGAATCTGTCCTAATCCGCAATCTGCCTAATTCGGAAAACTACAAGCCAAAGGGCCAAAAGCAATATAACCTATCGTTCGTGTACCACTTTTTTCGATTTACGATTCTGTCTACCTTAGAATAAAGTTTTTGATTAGATTTGGTCACCTTCTTTCTAGTAATTTCACGGTATAATCTGTTGCACCCATCAATATTTCCTCGCCTCTTAAGTGCTTGACGTTTTCATCGCTCTGGACTGCACAACACCGGAAGCCCTTTTAAGTAAGTTAGAACGGAATGCATGTCAAAAAGGATCACGCATAGCCTATAGTATAGAACTGAAGGGATATTAATCAAATTGAACTTATTGCTCCTAAGTGAAATTGACACAAAGTGCAATATGCTTTTGAAAGCGATCTCTAGGTTAATTAAGATTGATGGCAAGATAAGGATCAACTGATGCATCTGTTGCTGCCCGTCAGTTCTAGTTCAAAATGTTGAGGCGAATTGTAAAAAACGATATATTTACACTGGTCTAAATGCCCGCACATTTTCCTCTCCAACGGGCGTCATCTAATCCAATCATAATTGGATTTGATTTTTTCCATGAATTTTCATTCATGACGCCTCCCTGCGGATATTTTAATTGGCTGCAGTGAATGCCATCGAACGTAGGCTGAACCGGTTAACGTAGCATTACCGCAGCCAATAGTAGAAAGGGACATTAAAGACTGACCAATTACAAGGTCGAAGGGTCTTGGACGTACTTTGTATGTAAGCAGACCATTAGTGCGATAAAGAACATCCTTTCTGAGGAGAGAGAAAGAGAGATAGTCGGAGAAAGTGGAGAAAATTTAATTAATTAATGGGAAAATTGTGGCGAACATGAAAGCAGTGTAGTCAACGCCTGCTTGCATCGATGCTCGGATATACAAGAAGCAAGATTCAAAGGTGGCATGAAGCCTATGGCGTTGACTTACAGAGTCTCTCTTTCCATGGAGTTGCTGGACCTCTTGTTCCTCTTGTAAAAACAATCTGCCATCCGGTGCGGAATATACGGCTCATCTGGACCGTTTTCTGTCTTATAATGTCTACCGCAGTAGTTAGCAGCTTCACGGTCGTGATGTTGAAGTACTTGACTCACGTGACGGTAATTCGGCTAGACCAGACCGGCCTTGAAGACGGTGTCCAGCCGCCTTCGTTAACCATCTGTCTTGGTGAACATCGGACAACGGAGTTAGATGAGCATTTCTCAACAATCGACAATTGGCGGATGTTGTCCGGGGCTCAGGTGAAATGTCAATCCCAGGACGTTGTCTCCTGGAGCTCTCAGACACATGGACGTTCAGTTATCTTTAATCGTACTGCGCATTATACTGTGTCTTTCGCTGTCTCCCCTCCGGCGCCAATGTCTATCTCGGTCACGGAGCAGGTGCCTAATCCCCCACACGATGTGTGCACAACATTTAAGCTCAATCACTCTTGCTTTGGAGAGCAGAAATTCTGGAAGCTGGTGGGTTTTTACGCCTCAATGACTTTAAAACTAACAACGTTTTCCTAATAGACTAATTTTATGACTGCATACTCTTAAGGTGTTTTTCTTTATAGTACTCTCTCATGGCATCACTTTATTCCCCAGGTAAATTAGCGATATGGAAAATTGAATGAAGGAAATTCAAAAGCTTTAGCCAGAAATATATTTAGTTTCTATGTGGCAATTAAAACAGCCTCATAGGTTCCGTCTGTTTGCAATCAGATAGTTTAGTTAAAATGAGAATGTAACAATCAGAGGCATTGGGTACTACCCATTCTTGGTTTTGCTGCCAAAAGCATAGTGCAAGCAATTTGTCTTCATTTCCCAATTGGAAACTAGGATCGCATAGCTTCTACCACAATTTCGTGGGCAGCTGTATAAGATATCTGTACCTATGAAAGCGTTTGTTAACGTTGATTAAGTTTCAACACCAATGGTGACTGCCCTTGACATCATACAAATCCCAGTCGATTCAGCTGCCTTAACAAGGTCTTAAACAATGTGCGAATATTTCGTTCTCCAAATAACTTTGACACTGGTGTGCTGGAGTCAAATTTTAACAGGTTTACGAGAGTAGGTGCGAGAAGGAGAAAGTTATCTTGTCATCCTCTCTTATCACTCTGCAAAAATCTTCCATCACTAGGGCTTCTATGAACCAACGCTATAAAATGCATGATGCTTAACACAAACTCTAATTGTTTTATGACATTTAATGACATTTGTAAGGCTGCGTACTTTTCTTTAGAATTTTTAGTGAAAAGAATTTTATTTTCAGAAGGAATAATACGAAAAAACTGGTAGTAGCAAGAAATTATTAGTTTTTGGTCTAAGTATACTTGGACGTACAAATACGCTAAAAAGTATTTTCGTTGCCAGTCACGAATATTATTTTATCTGATAGGATGGAATTACGAAATAAAATTGGTTAAACTACATACAGGCTCGCTACTCCCTATTTTCTAACGGAAATCATCTCTTGAGAACGCATCTGTAGGCAATCGAAAGGTCCCATATCGTCCACTTACAACAGTGAATATGCATTACACCCAAAACGAAAACCCGTTTAGCAATTTTTCATGGCAGCTAGCTTCTCCAAATGCACAGTTAAAAAGTTAAGCAGCGTCTGGATAAAAACAGACGTGGGTTAGCCAGTTGGATACGAAGATTTTTTTATTGCTTCACTACACAGCGCTATAAACTACACATAGCCGGGGAACATGAAATTAAGGACGTTTTCTAATTAAAAAAAACTAGCAGTACGCGTTAAATACAGACATTTTTTATTGTTTTGAAGAGAAAATGTGATCACCGGTATCTCAGCAAAAAAAGCATAATCACGTCAACGAAAACGTTCCTCCAACCTAGAAAATTGAACCCATGCAAATGTTTGTAAACAATTTTCTTTTTCACTTCTTTCTTTTTCTTCATACTTCATAAACAGCTTCCCGAAAGTTTGTTTCTGCAGCTTTGAAGTGCTTCTTTACTCACGTCTTGATTTTATCTTTAGCGTAAAAGTCAAGTTATACTGGTTTTTATGGTTGCTGTCATAAATCTCTTTGGAGGTGTCATTTTGACTTTAATATTCATCAAGTACTTCGTTTTTGCTGGAATATTTGACCAGTTTGATCGAGCTTTTGGCCAGGTCATTATCGAGAAGGTTCCCACTTACTATTCATTTTGTCCACTGTGCTAGGGATGAAGTGGTTAAGTTCATCATCATAGGCAAACAGTCAAAAGTGCCTGTGTAGTATAAAAAAAATTTAATTTAATGCGAGTACATAATAAAATTGGTTTCGTTCTGTTCTATTTGCGTTTTCTACAGTTTGGCTAAAACTACTTAACCAATTTCTTCACTAGTCCGTATGGCGCCGAATTAACAATAAAGCTGCATTCCGAAAGCAGTCCTATCAATAGCTGAAATCGACCTATTTACAAACCAGTACGGCCAGCTTCCTTGCACGTAACCAAAGACTATAAAAATAGTCGAAATATTATGGTATCTGAGATAGTTGCGCTCCAAATTACAATCCTTTCATGGGGCCTTTTAGTGCATTTCGGATGGCGCCAGCCTCATAGTATTTTGCGCGGAACAGCGGCCGGGAAGGGTTTGCCGTTGCTTTGACTTAGATACTTTGCCTGGAATTAGCGGTGTGTAGTAAGCCGTTCGACTTCCTCGGGCATACTCCCCAAGGTAAGCGGTTTTGCAGGCAACGGCGTCTTTGATTTTTCCCAGGAACAGAGAAACGCTAATGAGTTGGTAGATTTGCCGATTTGCCACCGAAATATGCGGATGTTTTTAAAGTGGTAGACTACTAAACGGCGCATGATCTAAGTTCGCAGTTAAGTGCAGTGACGAAATAAGCATGAGTGCATTTATTTAAAAAAGGAATAAACCAGCAATAATAGTTGCCATAAAGACTTCATAGTATCTGAAGATTTATTTGTCTACAGGACGCAGTCTACCTACACCCAAATGGTTCCGGGTAAAGTAACAGAGCTGAAGGTTTGGATACTTGCGATCGAAACGTTCTGAATCGAGTTCTGAAGATCTGGAGGACTTAGAATTTACTCCGAAAAAACTCAATCGGTTAGGTTCTGCCCCGAAATGACACCAGCCGTTAAAATGCTCGTAAACGTATAGGCATTTATTTGCCGGCATACACAGCACAATAGAGCAGAATTTGGAGAATACCAAATGGAAAACGAAGTGTTGCCAAAATAAATGTAGGTTTTATTTTTAATGACGTTCTTGTTAAAAGATGCTAGCTTTATGCAATTTAAAAATTTATAAATTACCTGATTTTAAAGTGAGTACAGCTGTCTTCCAGCAAGAAGACAAAATCGGTATGACATACATAAATGCATTCTGTCGCAGCTATATCTCGTCTCCACCGCAGCAAATATTCGTTCGTTTGATCAACGTCAGATGCGCGTCAAGTTTGAACTGCGATTTTAGAGCAATTGGAAGCAGAGATTTATTAAGAACGGTAACGACTTTGAAAACGATGTTCGCACGCCTAATATTGGATGCATTATACGAATTTTAAGAAAGGAGATTCATAAAGCAATACAGCCTCACTCAAATCCATCAGAAGTGAACAATAATTGCATCTGGGGCAAACAGCCAGAAATATGGTGCTTTCACATTTGTTTTATGTTAATGAATACATCGGCTCTTGTAATTGATCCGCCATATTTTTCCGTCATCCATGCATATGGCAATTTTCTTATATAAACAGCCGTTGACCGGTATTGACCGTTGTTTAATGACTTTTATCACTTTTTTCTTTATTTGAGCTATAATTATCCGATCATCTGCACAGTATGTTAGCACCCTTTTTCAGGAAAGTTAAATCCGGCGTAAATTTTGCAACTTGTTGATCATTGATTGTTCCTGATGTTGACAGTAACTGTTTTCGGACATTATGTGTGGTTTGTGATCTCCTTTTGTTTTTTGTATGGCGTACCCACGTTTATCCATGGTGCATGAAGGGAGATTTCACCTAAATTTCAAATACTAATTTTAAAATAAAAAGTATCACGTTGAAGTGAGGGCTTCGGAAAACGACTATTAATGTACGACCACGATAGTTCTACAATTTTTTATTTGATTTCTGTGCAAGTCATCCTACGAGCACACAGTGTTCGTAATGTACGCCCATTTTCTAGTGGCCAACGGGCTCAATAAACTCCCAAAACCATTCACCTGGATGCTGACTGCACAGAACTGCAATATGTTTGAATAATTGAGATCATTTTGGTGAAGTTTTTGGAAGGTATTGGAATATAGGCGAAAAAGAGTTCCTTTTCTGTAATAATGGGCTGCCATAGGGGAAGCGCGACGATATAAACGCCAACACGCTGTTAATATTTCTTTAGTATACTGACACAAAGATTTATGGGATTAATGATGCTATAGAGCGATGGTACTCTTCTCGGGGAATACTTGATGCTGTTTATTTTGATGGCTGCTGAGTCACCTGCAAAAGCCAGGGCAACGAGCGACCCGTATGATTTTTCTTACTTAATTTATTAAGCTAATTTGTGATAGCTAAACTGCAATTTTTGTGTTTTTTTAACTTTTCTACATCTATTTTTGAAACATTTCTAAATGCAACCCAGCGAAACGTCATGCATTTTTAAAGGATTCGTCACGTTCAATTTATTGCTTGTTTGGAGGATTAAGTCTGGGCTGACATATTTTCATTTACAATTTTTTTCGAACATTGAACACGGACGTGTGGAAATGCGGTCCGTTTTTGACAGCGTTAAGTTCGACATGAGAAAGATCTATAAGAAACCCTGAAATCCCTTTTTTTGTTCTGCAGACGAGCCAAGCAGAAATGGAAAAATTCTCTTTACACTGACTGCTACAAGTGCTTAGAGATGATTTTGATGTTTTTGGAAGTTTTTATAGGCGTCAGCTTTGCGACACACTGTTTCTAAGATGTTTATCATTAGGACATTTTTGGAGTTTAAAGAACGTTGCTTCTCGTTTAGTTTTCGTCTTAACGGTTACTTCAGCGAACTCAAGCACCCTTTTGGTGATACAATGTAAACTAAGAATTTTATCATATTCAGGACCTTTTTGATGTCTAGATGACATAATCTCTCACGCGACCTTGTTTTAGTTTACTTAGGATGAGATTATGAGAATGCTCGTCAGTAAACTAAGGCAAG